GGCATCGCTGCTAGGAGCGTTCGGACGCTACGAACGGGGCTCCTGGCCTTACTAGTCAAGAAGCTACTATAGTAACATCCACGGGTTGCTTTTTCCCGCCGGGGTCAGTGGTTTGGAAGAGCAAAAAGGCCCAAGGAAGGCAGGCATGAAGCTTCTTGGAATGCTTCACCCTGTTTTTCAACCGGGGGGGTTGTGTTCTTCGATTCCGCAGAATGAATTCTCGAATTGCATGGTCCTCTTCCGAATCTGATTCCTCTGGGATCCCTCGGTGGAGTCAAAGGAATGGACTTGTCCACATAATCAAAGGATTTGCCACAAAAATCTACTCCCATCCCTCATACTATGCAGCATCCTGCCAAAAGACCCTTTGCCCTTTGTATGTCTTTTGTTGTGCTGCAAATAAACCAGCAACCAAGTCCGTGAGTTTCTCCTGCTGCGAGACTTTTCAAGACCACCACAATGTGTCCAATCTTCCCCAAATGACCACAGTTCCTCAGGAAACCTTTATGCTACTGTTGTTGTGAACTGCGGTTCATTGTGTTTTGAATGTAACAATTGTGACTTCTTACTAGGAAAACCCAAGTGCAAAAGTTCACAGGCCCGCGTGAGCGACAAACTATCGCTGCTAGGTCCTGTGTCCATGCTGGGTGGTGCAATGGGGTTGGTTGCTGGGATGCCCAGGCTGTGGTTGTGGTGCTTTGCAACACAATGAGTGTGCCCCCTGATATTGGCATAGTGACGTAAATCTTGGGCTGCTACGATCAATGGGATAGATTTAGCATCATGATTTAGTAATGCCTGGACCTTGCAATTTACAGCACTGACACAGTCCTGTTGCCAAGTACTCTGCGAAAAGCAGACCAACAGGCCGCATTCAGCACCCCCAGTCTGCTTTCATTTATGTAGCAACACCGACACAAGACTGCACACGACCTCAGCCGAATAAACTCCTGGACAAATTAATCGCAGGAACTCAACTCAACCTATTTCCACAAAACATCTGGTTGGTTTGCTTGAACCAACAAACCAAATCTAACTGACAAGTCTGATAAGACTAAAGCCCCCCTCAGGTGACAAGGAAACTTCTCCAACCAATTCTTCAGTTTCATGGATTTCATGGCTCCTCAAATCTGGATCAATTTGATCTCTCACATCTCTTCACCTACGACCAGAGCAAGGACGCTACTAGGAGCTCCCCTTGAAATTCTCTCTTTCTGGCTGCTTTTTGTGAGAAAAAACCACCACCGTCTGCACCCCGTGCACCCCGTGCACCCCGTGCACCTATGGCCAGGTGGTTCTGGTAGAAGTGGTGGATCACCCCGTGCACCGGATCGAAGACCTCGACTCGGCCGGGGTTTAGACCTCTAAGAAGAGCATTGATATGGTTACGTGACATAAGCAAGTCTATCCAAAGAGGACTGTATACATCATTCTATCCAAAGCCAGGGCTGGCAGTGCGATTCTACCCAATCTCCTAATTATGGTCGCGCTTCACTGTTCGGGTTCTTCCGAAGTCAAAGCCATTGTCTCTTCATCCTTGCTAGGCTTTCCTTGTAGCTTCTTGTTACGACTAGTAAGGCCAGGAGCTACGTTCGTAGCGTACGTGCTCCCTAGCGATGCCGCGATGCCCTTGGTTCCCTTCGTCGCGTCCTCGTCGCTTCCCTCTCTTCGTTGCCAAGGGACGGGACCATTCGGGTCGTTCTCTGCACAGCCCTTCTGGCTCATGAGATGATAGATCGGCGCATCCTGGCGCGACTCACGCTGCGTTCTTTCACAGAGTCGCCACTTCGCCACTTGTGCACAGTCAGACATGGCGCATTTGGTGTCGTGCGTTTGTGGAGCTGGGGCGGTCTGGTTTCGTCACGATTTCGATCTCGTTGGCTGTGACCAGGTAATGGTCCAAACAAATGTCCTTATGCCTTGGAACTCTTGTGCAGCTGAGTGTGACCAGCCATAAATTTGGGGACCTTCGAATCGTTCGATCATGTTCGATCGGGGACCTGCCAAGAATTGGGAACACATGGGAACACCTTTCTCATGCGAGATGTACCTAACCTCCCACCAGCATTGGTGATTGCATGCAACCGCGTGTGGAAAGGAGTCGGTGTCAATACTAGTATAGATACTATAGTAGCTTCTTGTTCCTAGTAGTAAGGCCAGGAGCGCACCGTTCCTAGCGTCCGATCGCTCCTCCGTTCGTAGCGATGCCCTTGTTCCATATTTTTACACGTGCACTCCTTCCTCCTCACGCAGGCCTTAAAGGCTTCACCGCAGGCCTCTTGCCCGGGCCAGCAAGGCACCACCTGCCCATTTTTCGTGCAGGTGTTGCTCTGACCTCGGACGCCATACGAAAGAAGTGCAGTGAGTCTACGAATAAATCCGTCAGCGTGCCTATTGGCTGACACCTCATGGAGGGAAGTCATCTTTCAAAACCAAAGAGCCAAACATTGTGACATTCCAGCTGCTTGCCAGTTTTTCAAACAGTGCAATCTTTGGATCTTCCATGCAAACGTCGTACCCAACTTCAGCTTCAAACATCGCAAAGAAAATGCCACCAACTCTTGTTGTAACGACCCCGCTTGTCGCCCCTCCCGTCCAAGTCGCGCGTGATGAAAATGAAACTCAGCGATGCCAACAAAGGCAAGCGTATCGCGAGGGAACATGCCATGATGGCAAAGCGCGCTTTGCGCGTATTTTTTGGGGGGAAGGAATCTAGTAGCGAATCTTGTTCCTAGTAGTAGGGCCAGGAGCTACTAGTAGCGTCCGTGCTCGTAGTAGCGATGCCCTTTGCTACTAGTAGCGATGCCCTTGTTCCTTGTATATAGCGAAGGAATCTCCCAGTCTGGCTTTGGGGGGCTACAAGAAGAGATTGCTCATGATTCTGAGTACATCTGAGTACTTTTATTCATCTCTTTGTGGTCGAGCTGAGCTGTACAAAAGTTGAGATTTGCCAGGCGCAAGATGAATGATCAGTGGCATCCGTGCAAGTTGGGCATCTATTCTGGATCTGTGGTAGGGCGTAGTTACTAGGCGTAGTTACTAGACATGGAATGATGTCTATCGCTGTGGCGTCTAAATGTTCGGCCCGTTGAGGTCTCGTCGTTGGCACGTTGGTCTCTGGAAAAAATGGCACGTCGGCGACAGCTGCAGTTGCTTGTCCCTGCAAAAGGCACAAGAAAAAGCAAATGAGAGGTCAGACCTGGTTGGTAATAAACACATTAGCTTTAGGAGTATCAAAGCGACCCCCAGCCTCGTTCGATCCTACGCCAAGCACCACCGCCACTCCCAAAAAAGAACTAACAAACTCCGCCCTCAGACGAAAAAAAGCTCACGTTTCATGTTTCAAAGGAGAAAGGCACTTCTAGAAACCCTGTGGTTCCGCTAAGCACGACCGTTTCTGTCTCAGGCTTTGAGGGTACTGTATATATATATGCTACAGCTTCTATACATGCTCAGGAGTTTCAACAATCACCAAAGACCATGCTGGTGAAAAAAGCACCGAGACTGGATTTGTTGTTCAGGAACAAAGGAAATGAACCAATTTCCCAAAAGTGGGTGTACCCACCGGTTCTCCTATACAATCCCCCTGCGTAGAACCCGAAGAATGCCGGCGAAGGCTCTGTTCACCAAACTTCTTTGGGCTGACTCACCAGCTCACTTGATTTCTTCGTATCTCTTCCCTGTCCTTCGGGGTGCACCAGGCAGTGGCAAACCTTAGCCTTCTCCAAAGTCGCCCCCTCCACCTGCGGATTTCGGCAATGTTCCCCACTGAAGGGTTCAGGGTTGGCATCCTGAAGGTGTCGCTGATCGCGCCTTCATCCATGAAGGACCACCCACTTGTTGACATGGCCTGGGTCGGAGGCCATCGCTAGAAGGTTGGAGGCCATCGCTACTGGGCTGGAGGCCATCGCTAGTAGGTTGCAGACTATCGCTAGTAGCGTTGGAGGCCATCGCTAATGGGTTGGAGGTCATCCCTAGTAGGATCGCTAGTAGGTTGAAGGCCATCGCTATTAGGGTGGAGGCATTGCTTCTAGGTTGGAGGCCA